GGTCACAAACCTGAACACCAAGCACGCCGCGAGCAACATCTGAAGCCTGGAGGATCGTCGTGGCTATACGCCTCGTTCGCCCCTAAGCTGAGAGAGCGGTGGAAGCCACGTTCTCGTGGGACCAATCCCACGTCTATCCTTCCCCACGTGACCACGCTGCCGCCCCACACCCACGAGTAGACAGCGATGTCAAGAGACGAAAGAAAGGCGGTTGCTTGATCCGGCAAGCGCAGTGCCGCACTGCCAGTTTAGAGGTGAAGGGAGTCCAGTCGTGGCTGTTAAAAGTTACCGCATTCGTACCAAGTGGCGCCGGACTCGCGCGATCACCGTCGAGTGTTTACGTGGAGGAAAGAAAGGCCGGTTGTTGTGGGGCGCGCGTCGCTTATCGAACAAGCGTCGGGCGCCGCGTGGCGTCACGGCGAGTTCGCCATTGACTTGGCGCGCTCTCCGCCTGCCCTCTCTTTCCCCCAGAAACCCGTGAATGAGCGGCGGCCAAGAACGGTAAATCGAGCTTTCCGGAAATATGCGGCGCCTCCCCCGCATGCTTGACGCATTGGGACGTTCCCATGTACTATGGCACGTGAGATTATCCCGGAGTCGAGGACGATCGTTGACGTTGGTTTAACATTTTGTGGTTTTAGAACACGGAGAAGGCAAAAAGGTGTATGTGATAACCTCCTTTTGTGTTCGCTTTACTATTTCTTTTTTTTTTTTTTTTTTTTTGTCAGGTGTAAGTATTTGCGAGCAGAGCGCGGCGAAGTTTCAACTAAACTTCGGGACATGCAACTGTGCGTGTCCCGTACAGATGCGCTAAGTTTTTGATTTGTGAATCTAGCGGTGGACGCGAACGTCGACGGAAGACCACTTACATGCCATACTGTTCAGTTCAGGCGATAGGATACTGTTACGGTCGATTCGAACACGGTCGGCCTGGCGGCCTTTTGAAAAGTGCGCACGCGCACAAGTGACTTGACGCCAACCGTAATCAAATCTCGTCTTGCACAGTTGTTCTAAAAATATTCGCATATCTCGTATAGTCGAGATTATTATCGCCGTCTGCTGTGACAGCTCCCACAGATTGAGGTGTTATAGAAATGACTTGATCTCTATCACCAACACCCTCCTTTTTTTACGTCATTAACGTGACGTCTGCCACAAAAGACGCAAAACAAGTGTGTTAGGCATGTTCCAGGTTCTTTTCAATGCGGTAGCACATCATGCCTATAGCGCGGAACACGGTTCTGCCGGCCACATGATCAATGGACATTTCTCAAGAAGAGGTTTGCTCATCCGCAAGTCCACCTCACGCAGCGGCGAAGACCCGAACTACGCTTGGTATCCAGAAGGGGAGTTGCGCTATCTCTCTTTTCTCTTACGCAACTGGAAGGGGTGGGAGCTAGACTGTAGTATAGGAAAGGCAGCGCAACACCCACTCCGAACGCCAATTGCACTTCAAGCTCTCGCCGCGTCGATCTAGGTGGCGCAAGCCTCCGCTCGATTTAAAGGGTGCAGCCGCATCCATCTAACCATCCATCCATCCATCCTTCATCTCTGCTAGAACACTTAAAACTCACCACACAGGGAAGTGGAAACACCGGCACATAAGTCGACCCATGAACGCAGACTCACCTCTGGTGCGAATCTCAGGGTGACTTACTAACGCTTGCATTGTGCACCGGAATTCGCGGCATCTCGTTCTGTGCAGTAAACACCGTCGGTGGGTAGCGCCGATAACGAATACGCATGTGCTCACCTTTCCTACAAGAAGGAAGTCGATGTGCCGGGTCTGCTGTCACGTGCTGAAAGCACCAACAACGGAAACAGACATAATAAAAACAAAAACAGCGCGAAGGACGAGGACAAAGTAAAAAGTAACCTGATTCTCAACTGAAGTTTATTCGTGTTGGCATATATAGCGTACATGTCAGGCAAATAAACCATGAAAAAAAAAACACAAAACATTCACATCACGTATTCATTACACCACGACCCTGGCATGCCCTCGTTGCTCCGCTGAGTTGCCGCTCTTTATTGGAAAGTAAAATCGAAGGCGCGCTAACACGGTCTGGCCAGAGTCTCGCAATATCGCGTGTTTGAATGATTTCACGAGTGGGTCTGTCCTTATTTTTAAACACCACTTGGCATTGGTGTCGTCAATCCTTACTCTGTAAAAATTGACGACATCAATCTTTACTCTACCCCTGTTTTCGGCAATTTTAGTACGTAATGAACCAACTAGCCCATCTCACCATTCTGCTGTCACGCTTCTACACCGAAGACCAGTCGCTTTTTTGTTTCGTTCGTTTGTCCAGATCTGCAGGCGCTTTAAAACCGGACCTGGAAGGTGAAACACCGTTGTGTCGACCGCACGCTCGTTGAGTCAGCTGCGCTTCTACGCACGCGACTCGCGCGGCGTCGAGCGCACGCGACCAGTCGCGCTAATGCGACGCGCCGTGGGAGCGGAAGCGAGCACGCATGACCTGAACCAACCGACGCACTCGCAGACTGTAGGAAACGCTCGGCTAGCGTTATGTTAATGCACCGAGAAATTCAGGCAGAGGACGGTACGAGAGAGAGCGTAGACGTCAGAACGCCGAGTTCTGATTCGAATGATTAGTGGGTAGACCTAAAGCTAGCTTCGCCAAACGCCGGACGCCTGCGTCCACGGCGCTCTTCAGATAATTTAACGCGTGGTACACTTGAAATGATAAACCTGGTGATCCCCCAGAACCTTCTAACGCACTCCTCCTCCCCCCCTCGCCTACTTCTTCTGTCCTCCCCTGGTCACATGACCTCCCCGTTAACCAATCAGCGTCGAGCACCTCATTCCTCCTCTCCCACCCGTTAACCAATCAGTGTCGAGCCTCGCGGCCACGCTTTTATCCATGCTTCACTTTTGGGATTCACGTAAGTTAAGTTTTCGACGGAAGGACGGCTGGGGAGGAGGGAGCAGACGAAACGGTGGAGAGAGAAGGGGGTTTTCTCCTCCCCTCTCTTGCATTTCGTTTGCTTCCTCCTTTCTAGCCCTCCTTTACCTCGAAAAAAACGTTAAGAACCTTATCGCCTGAGCTTCCTGAGGCCCGTATCTTATATACTCGTCGTTCAAAAGAAGAAGAAAAAAAGGAAAAACAGCGAATGCGTCGGCAATTTGTCGAAAGATGCGAAACAATGCAAGCACGAAAGCTGAGTCGTACCGTCGCTCTCGATCACAACATACTTGGCGGCTGTCAACGCGCGGAAAAACGAGCTGCCTTGAGTCACCCACGTGGGACTCGGTCTATGAAATCATTTACGTACGTTGGCAGGGGGCCTGAGAAAACAAAACAAAACAAAAAGTCTACGTGACACACTCGAGTGCGTGGACAGGCGCGCACAAAAGACAGAACGCGTTTGTTAGTTTGCCACCGCCAGTGAGATCAAAGTCCCGTTTAACGCTACGGCGCCCTCGGACCAATCAGGACAAGGAATCAAAGCACGTGATAGCTCTCATCGAGGGGAGATCACTATGACAATACGTTGTCACGTGCCCTGCACCGACGTGCTGATAGGCTCACTGGGGCCGTAGTTTTCGCCCTCTGCTAAGTTATGTTGCCGAGTCTAGATAGCCCGCCTTTATCTCGCTGATGTTACTTGCAAGCTCAGAGATTTCCGGACCATGGAAACCCTCGTGCGCAAGAACCTGGTCAGAGTATGCCTCTGGGATATATCTCTGAAGGAGCACGTCCCATCGAGCCATGAAACTGTGCGTACAAAATTTAGATGTCGGTTTAGTCTCAACTTGTAATCAATTCAACGATCATGTTTTGATAAAAAAAGAATTGATTTTCAGCGACCTTTATTTTCGAAGTTCTGTAAAGCACGAAATGCGGTATTTAAGGCTCGATCGTTTAAATTTGTTTAGGAGGTATTAAACACTAGTTTTGGGGAGGGAAGAGGTAAGCATTGTTTATTTATTCTTCAGCTAAATGTAACAAGATATTGACGTCACGTGACCGTACGACTCGAAACGTCACGTCACATGATCACATTGCGTGACGCCAAGTCACGTCACCACCTGAAGTTAATAACCTGCGGTGGAACATGACGTCACGTGACGTGATGTCACTGTGTCAAGTCACCAGGTGCTATGACATCACGTCACGTCAATCCCCCCCCCCCCCCCCCCCCCCCGAAATTTTGCAGGGAAATAAATGGATGCGCGGACAAACTGCAGTTATTTCCGCTTTCGTTTCCGAACGTTGTTGTGAGAAAAAGAAATACTGATGAAAACAACTGTTGGCCGTCGCGTTAAATTAATCGGAATATAATACATGATAGGCCTGTAGTATAGGTATGAATAACCCAGCCATATGCAACGATTGTCGCTGAAAATGGAGAAGTCCCTTGTTCGATACCAAGACCCGGCGGATTTTTTCGGTCGCGCACCAGTCACCTAGTTCTTTTTGGAGATTTGTGTTTGTCCATTTTACCCCTTGTTCCGGTTCTCCAGGGATTATTATCGTCAACTGTTTGACATTTATTCTCACAGTCGCTTTAAAACCGGGAACGTAAGAACCAGTCGAGATGGAGGAACTGCAGTAGAGTAAACAGATGGGCCAGTTGGAACAACGCACGATACTAAAAGCGCCAGAGAACAGGGCAAAAAGGAACGCCAAGGAAAAGGAATGTGAAAGCGCTTTGTTTGTCTTCTTTCTTGTCCTTTTGCCTGACGTTTTTAGTATTCCTGAAATCAGTTTTGTTGTCTATAGACAACGAAACTCATCTATCTCACGACTGAAAGAATTATTGCCGTATACGGCAATATTTCAATCAGTCGTCAGTTAATAGCCAGATGATTGGATTCCTGTTTTGTTACATCTGCTTCGAATACTGACTGTAGAAATTACGCAAACAATTGAAGCGCAGCTTAAGTAATACAGATAAAAAACGATAGCAAAAAATATTCCATTCTTAACGAGCACGCGCCGCTTTCATCAGCAGATCCCCTTTGTCTTAAACTGATTGGCGGAGTATGCCAGCGACGAGGCCCGCGATTTATCGGCAGAACGCCAGCCAACTCGGACCCGCAGTTGGAATCCCCGTTCTGCCCAGGGAATGTAAAGCGGCTCTTGTTTCCCAGATATCGGGATCGAGTTCCGCTGCATAAAACTTGCGTATCATCGATAAGCCTTATCGAGACCGCAGTCACGGCCAGAGCCCCAGTATCAGGGTATCAGGCCGAGCGGATCATGGGACGCCGTGTCCTATTCAGACTGCGATTGCGATCGTTCTGCGAAGCACCGCGCGATGCGATCGAGCTCGGGAGCACGTGGTGACGGCGGCAGAGGGAGAGAGAGAGAGAGGCGCTGCCTCCGAATCGCGCATGTGACCCGCGGCGCCAATGGCCGCAGCCCGGAGCTTTGCGGCACGGAGTCACGTGCGTCTTCGATGCCGGGGAGAAGAGTAGCCGAGGCGAGTTCCGCTCGCATTTGGCACGAGGCAAGCGTCGGGGGCTGTACAGGAATTGGCAGCAGTCTCTCGAGCTGATGCGTTTAGACTGACCGAGCCATGCCGCGGTGTGCCTGAGCTTCCTCGATGGCAGACGTCTGCTGAGCTGGTCATGGAAAGTCCCGCGATGGCACCCGGCATCCTGTCTTTAGAGGACCTCTCCCTGGACGCCCTGGGCGCGGACCTGGACTCCCTGTTTTCCAGCGACAGCTGCCTGGTCGCCGACGAGGTGAGCCCCGAGACCAGCATGCAGCTTCCCGAGTTCGGCATCTTTTCCGACGCCTACTACCCAATGCTGTGCCACGAGCCGTGCGCCCAGACGCCCTGGTGCTCCGAACCGCAAGGGCGACCGGCGGGCTTCAGCCCAGACTCCGGCTACGAGGATGCCTCCGTCGCGTCGTCACCGTCTCCCGTGCCCGAGGGTTGCCTCGAAGTGGACTGGTGCGAGGAACTCGCCGCCGACTGCCTCGACGACTTCGTGGTGCTCGGTGTGGGTCTCAAGACCCTCATGTCTAGCTTTCGCGAGGACGACTCTTCCCCGTGTCCTACCGTGGTGTCCCCCAGTCCCGCGCCCGTGGCGTTGCCGGCTCCCCGCGGCCGGCCTTCGCAGAGCTGGACGCAGCAACAGCAGCAACCACGGGTTCGAGCTTCGGCCGTTGGCCGCAAGCCCAAGTCGAGCATCCTCCTGGACTGCCACTCTCCCTCCACGGGTCCCAGGCGGCACGGCGGTGGCCGAGCTGCCACCGCCGCCTCCACCGCCGCAGCCGTGCCGGAAGAAGACAAGATCTTCTGCTGCTCTTATCCAGGCTGCACCAAAGTGTACTCAAAGAGCTCGCACCTCAAGGCGCACCTGCGACGGCACACGGGCGAGAAGCCGTTCGCCTGCCAGTGGCCCGGGTGTGGCTGGCGCTTCTCGCGGTCCGACGAGCTGGCCCGCCATAAACGGTCCCACTCCGGCATCAAGCCGTACCGCTGCCAGATCTGCGACAAGCGCTTCTCGCGTTCCGACCACCTGGCCAAGCACCTCAAGGTGCATCGCAGGGACAAGATGGCCGGCCCACTGGGTACCAGGGCCAGAGTCCACCACGCTGCCTCCGTACGTGCCTGAAGACTGTGCGCCCCCCTACACCGAATACTCGTCAAGACTTTTTTTCCGCGGCCAAGCCGCACATTTGTTAACACATTTTTTTCGCCTCCACCATCCGTGCCTGTGGGTTACCCCGTCTTTCTTCCGGAGCGACTCGGCGTTCAACGTGTGCTCCCTTTGTAGATTCATGCTGACACATCGGAACTGAAACTCGCTCGTTGTGCGGCGCCATGTTGCAATAAAGCACCATTTCTTTGTCGTTGACGCTCCGGGTGCTTGTCGTGGTGACTGCGCGGTCGCGACCGGTATCGCCAGTGCCGGTCCGGGGTCACGTTTTATCGGCAGCGTTATCCCCACTTACTCAGAGCCATTGGCATGTTCCCACGTGGACCCAAAAACTTCCATTCCGGATGTGGTGCGAGTGTTCCTGCACCTTCCGTGACATCGAGCGGAACATTATTTTCGCGGGCGCCTCTAGGTTGTTTTTAGGTGGTGCATTGATCACCCGTAACTTAAGAGTAATATTCTAAAAAAGAAATCAAGAAAATAGTTTTCTTTTTTCTTTGTGAACGGGACAAAACTGAAGCAAACCGTCGGGTTGACGCCGCTGCTCACCTATGGCACCACCTGGTACAAAAACGTGAAAGCTTTTTAGAGATTAACATCCTACAGCAGGTACGAGCGTGTATCAGGTACCATAAGTCGGTACCAGCGTCAATTCGACGGGTTGCTTTTGTTTTCCTCCCGCGAGTAGGCAAAAAAGTTCTTTTCCTGGATTTTTTTCTTAAACCTACCTTCACGACATTTGAGTATCATCAGTGCACCCTCCAAGAAAAGACATAATCGTGAAAAGTTCCATTGCACTCTGTTCACTGGCCTATTTACACGAATCTTTTGAAGCGCACGTAGAGTTCTCGAGTCGCTCAGGCAGGCCTGTAGCAATTGGCTCCTGTTAGCCGCGCAGTCACTCATCTGTGACAGTGTGCAGTTAACGAATGCATCCGCTGCCGGTCACCAGCTCGCGGTCATCACAAAGATCGGTAAAAAAAGCGTTCGTGATGTCTGCGAGAAGAGTTGTGAAACGTTCGCCTGATGCAGCTATGATTTTAGGACGGTGTTCTGAAAATTCAATTCAATGTTTATTTAATGAGATGAAGATTTTAGCCCCATAATTTGGGGCCGGCTACTTCAATGCTAGTAATGCGGTAAAGTATATGATATGATATGTTCAATAATTATGAAATCTGGGCATAATGAATAACAAAGTAAACTATGAACGTGCTGCGTTAATATCACAAGCAAGTGCACTTTGAGAAGTACGACATGTACAGTATTATACGAGTCCTGCACGATTCGTTAAGTGGAAAATTAGGTGTGCGTGTACCAATTTTGGTAGTGTTCCCGTCTATTCGGCAGTCCTGCATAGGGTTCAGGCTTACTAGTTGGAAAACAACAGCGCCCCAACCCGAAGGCGGGGGATAGAAGAAATAATTAATGGGATCCTGATTTTGCCTTTCCCGTTCCGGAGAGCGACGGTTAAGGTCTCGACCCACTACAAGCAACCAATGAATACTGCGCGCCAACATGACAACGGCAGCTTTTTAGCGAACGGAAATTTTACGCAGTGATTCTAGCTGAGATATACTCCTTGTTGCCGGTCAGAAACGCTAAAATGCAAGCCATGCAGCCAACAAATTATTTTGCATGTCTTGCGAACATTTTATTTTCTTTATTCTTTTTTTTATTGTGTTTTACGAAACGATGACATTCGAAATATTCGATAGTAATACGAAGACAACTGTTACAGTTGCCTTCGTATTACTATCTGTGTACCTGGAGACCATCGGGCGGCTGTGAGCGTGTGGTCTTTTTTTATTTTATTTTTTTTTCTTCTTGAAAGTGTCACGCATGATTGGTCAGCAGCGAGCGCGGAGGCTGCGTGATCTATTTCTTTCGCAGATTTATTTTCCCCGTACGTGTCGAGGAGCGATTATCGCAACGAAAGCCTCGCTTCCGGAACGCGACGTGCAAAACGAACGCCGAGCCGCTCTGCTGCACCAACGCAAAGTACTGCATTCAAAACTAAATCACTTAAACATTCCTCGTGCCTTTCCCGCACTTCTGCGAGGAGAACACATGCGGGAGGAAGCAGACAGTCTGAACAGAAAGAAAAACTGTAGATGAATATATAGCCTGTAACACCGTGAGTTGCGTAGACCTCGTGCTAATGAAATGTACCACCTCAGATTTGTTTGGAGACTGCAGCAATGAAAACAAAAATGCAGGACGGTTTTCCGTCCTTCTAAACTGTTTTGAAAATCGTTTTGACGTCAATAACAAGTTTAGTAATTGTCGCAAATCAGTTTTCTCATTTTATCCGGATTCAGGATGACTCACATTCTAAGCGCTCGAAAGAGACGACCGCGTTGTGAATCAGCCGGGTGACGTTACGTTTGCTTTAATTCCCTGCCAGTTCCGCTCCTTGCGTGCGTCCTATGAACGACTTCCTTCGCAAACCACGACACACAACAAACAAAAAAAATTAAATACGCCTGATAGTGGTTTTTCTGCTCTTGACTCCCGCCCTAGAACGTAATACCCCTGTTTTATGGGCACTTATAAACGATCTTCCTAACCGGCGAACCACCGTATGGGTGGCTATAGGATAGGGCGAGCTTGAACTTGGGAGACGGAACAAGCCGTCATGGGGTTGCTTCGAGAGTACCGCCTGAACAGCCTATGCGCAAAGATTAAAGGAATAAAAGAGGGTGCACCTGGAAGTATTCTTTTCAGCCAAAACACACAAGGAGAGCGTATCGTTCCGGGCCATCGTGTCAGAGAAAGGTACTTGGCAAGCACATGTGTCAACCTTCTCAGCCAAGCAACCGTCTTCAATGCAGTGCGATGACCCGTACAAGGCTTAAAATACGAAATAGGGGACTTTATAGCTTCAAATTAATGGGCCTAACGTCGCCTCAGGCTTTTCGATAGGCATACAAGATATGTATTATACTATTCCCAATGCAAGCCTCGTGTCAATTCTTCGACAAAAACATGGAAGAGCACAACAGCACATCATTACAAAACACGGCAGGGATCAACTTGGATACCTTCTTGGAAGCGCTCAGTGCAGCGACGGTCGTGGCAGGCGAAGGCCAGCATTTTGTGCAAAAAAGTGGTGTGTGTATAGGCTCTCGTGTAGACCAACTACTGCGTGATTGGTTACTAGCAGCATGTAGCAAGACCATCCACTCAGGTAGGTTGATGACTTTCTAATTCTTACAATAACGGAGGTTGAAGATCAAAACAACGGTAAAAGAGGTCGTTTTATGGTGTCCAAAAAAGCTGCCCAGTATTCGTATTCGGGCGTGAACTACCCGTTGATAGGTGCACCAAGTTCCTCGACCTCACACGAGAATTTAATGAAACATACGTTCGTTAGAAATGTGAACCAAGGTCAAACGAAGGATATCTTTTCTTTTTCTTTTTTTTTTTGCGTCTGGGCATTCCAAAACTGCAAAACGAAGCGTTAATAATACCACGTTTGTATTGGTCTTAAACAAATCTTGTAATCGTAACATTGGGCAAAGTTTAAACAAGCACATTTCTCGCCTACGTGATTCTGGCTATCCGATTGGTCTCCTGGCATGCGTGTGTGAAAACATCTGCACAAAATTAAAGCGAAAATCAGCTGACACAGATGGGAGAGAAACAACAAGAACTCAACGAAAATGCTCAGTAGTACCCAACGTTAGTAGTACCCTACATTCATGGGATAACGTAGACTCACTAAATTCTGTGTTCAGGGAATATGTTTCCAGAATACCGAAACTCCCAAGGTCCGAACCGTGGCGCTCAAATTCATCCATATCCGTGTCGCCATTTTGGATCCTTAGATAGTACAGTGTACAACAACTGTACGCTTACCACGTCGCTGGCGTTGTCGAAAGGTATTTCAGGTAAGAGTGTGACACGGTGGATAGTCGCATTTGCGACATCATTTACACGTGTAATCATTAATGTGTGGTTCACTTTAAAGGCCCCAGGTTAGTAGTCATACCTCACTGGTAAAATATCTAGTTTTGAGATGAGTCACCCATCACTGTCTAAATATCTAGAAATATCAATAATTCACGCGACGAGGGTGGTCTGTGCCGTGTTCCCATTGCAGTGGAGAACTTTATCGCTTAGAGCTTAGCCGCTTATTTATTTCTGTCATCCTATTATAAGCCGCTGGCTTTCTTTTTCTTTTTTTTTACGCTTTTTGAGCAATCAAAAGACTGTCATATAAATGCTGAAGCATTTCATCGATTTAGTTACAACTGCATACAAGATTTTTAGGACTGGACAGGAACTGGATTGATTAAAACATAGTATCATACCCTTTTGCAGCGAAGTTCAGCAATGATTTCCTTATGACGATTCTGAAGGCAGTTGGACGTCGACGCTATCTTTGTCAATGGTTAATGCAGACAAATGTAACTGATGGTGATCAGTGACGAGAAGGGCTTGATATACGATCAATGACTTTCTATACCACAAACACCATGGATCTTTTTGTCATCATTCATTCTCCCTGAGCAGAAAGATGCATCTCATTCACTCGTGGCATCAAGTGACGTATACCTCTCTAAGACCTCGCCGTAAAGGCTTCATTCGTGCTTTTTGCACCACAGAAGAGAAAACAACAATGTAATAAAAATTAAAAAAAAAAACTAAAATAAAAACCGCCTGAGTGCCCATTCCCACCAAGACTGTTTGCTTAAATTGCTTAAATTACGTTATGAGTCACCCGGGCATTCGTGCTTCGAATTTTGCATGCCAAGCAACTCCTGCATTATATTTACGCTTCGTACGAAGCGAAGCAATTTCAATAAAAAGTTTTGCAATATAATCCTCATTCAGAAGAAGCCGTTCTTCCAAGCATCGTTCGTGCCGAACCAAGCTCAGTCAGAGCAGCCTGATCGGCTGCGAGGCGACGAGCAATGCCTGTTTGCTGTGCCTTCGAAGCGTAAATAAGCCAGCGAGAATTGAAAATGGTCAGCTGAACAATTACAAATGAGAAAAAACCGTGAGAGGAAATACATATACATGTATGTATTTCCTCTCACGGTTTTTTCTAATTTGTAATTGTTCAGCTGACCATATTCAAGTATGTACCAACTAGCTCAAGTAAAACCTGTAAGCCAGCGAGCTCGTGCTGAAGGCGGAGCTTCTAGTCTGTGCTTAAAGGTGAACAGAGTACCGTACTTTCCGGATTACAT